AATGCCATTGTACATTCCAAATTCTGGCTAGCAATAGGGAAGGAGTACATATACCCATTCACACACACACACATATATGTATGTATATCTTAATATTCTTCATATAAATATGTTATTTATGATGGATTATTCTCTGTGTCTGTGAAGGTGGGTATTGTTGAAAATATGTGTGTTCACATTGTCCATTGGCAAAGACGGCTATGGTTGCCTCTTAGATTATCTCTATCTGATTCTAAAGAAGAGGTCAGAAACAGGTGGCTTGATAGGCACATCTGACCTGCAAGTCATTTATTCACTGAACAGTATCATGATTTTATAAATTATAAATTCATTGGCAGCTTTTAAAAGTTCAGAGATATTACTTAAAAATTACATTCTGACTTCTGATAAATCTAAATTTACGGCAAAGCTAGTCTCCATATTGCACAGGGGAACTAGAATGGTAGCTGTCTTCTTTGTATGAAACATTACTGCTTTCATTTGCCATAGTTTCTCCTTCCATTACCCTTACTTGACTCATTTGAGTGAGTCACTTCAATCATTTGTGTTATTTGCCTGGTCCAGCCATGTGATAAAATAATTTAATTCAGTGAATTGATTAATTCTTCAGCCAACTAATTGGTCCACTCAGTCAAGAAAGATGATTAAGTAGACCAATACGGAAATATTGTCTGACTCCTGTTCTTGACGACTTTTTCAATTGACTCTTCTATTGATTATTCTGCCCTTAGGCATTTGCATAAATTAAATCCAACTTCTAGGGAAAACACGTTGGCTTTAAGAGTTAATATATCAGCTTCTTCCTTTAAAACAAGAGAAATGTCCAAAGAGAAGAGAGTATAGTGAGCGGTAATTTTTATGAAAATTTTTCAGATACAGTATAGATGGATTAATATGAAGGAGGACACAAGAAGCTAACATACATTTCATCTTTTTAAAGGATAGAAATTCACTTCACTCTTTAAACCATTATCTATTTTGTAAATTTTTCATGAGGAACATTTATTGTATTATAATTTTTAAAATTACAGAAAATGTAAAGGGCAAAAAAATGATTGGACATGGCTGGGTTATCAGCATAGAGGAAGGGCTTTTCACTGACCATTCAAATGGACTAACATATGCAAGAAGCATATCCCAAAAGGTTTAGCAAATAGTAGTTATCTTACTAGTTGGAATGGTGCCATTACATCCAGCCTAGACTTCATACAGGTAAAAGAACCTCATTAAATAGTGCAGGAAACCTGTGAACATAGATAAACTAAAACTCTAAAGCTACTTGATCCCCCTTCCTTAGTGGGGAGGAGTTGCAAGCTGGCAGGCTATATGCCTTCCCCCCGAGGAGTGCTCGACTTCTCACCTCGTCTGTGAAGTTCTGGGGACAGGGACTGATTTCAATATTGAAATAGAGAATTCAGAGCCAGAGAAGCAGGGGTAGGGGGTGGGAGTGGGGTGAAGTTAGCATTAGGAAGACCCAAGGCAAGTATTAAGAACCAAAGATAAGAATTAAGGAAAGACAGGAAAGAAAAAGAAAGTTACAGCATCAAAACAATAAAGCGGATATAGCCAACCACTAGATGGACCACGAAAAGTTGATGCAGGTTTCTCTAGCAAATATGGGCTATAAATAGGAAATGTAATAATGGACACATTGATATTTTACTTTTTAGCCCCAGTAACAATTTTTCTTTTTCTTAGAATGAGAACTGTTGGTCTGTGGCACA